ATCTTAAAATGAAAATTATTTTGCATGTTGGATAGGCAACATGCAAAAAGAAAAAAGGCATGAGAAAAACATCATTTAACAAACCTTAAGACTTAATAAAAAAAAATTGGTACTTTGCATATGAAAACATTGTAATGTTTAATGATAATCTGCCAAATTTTGTTAACATATGCTTATCAATTTAAAGTTATAGCATGAAAACTATAACAAGCACAAAATGGTTACAAGGTCGATCCCAGGGATCGAGCCTGTGCTGAAAGAGTTAATACTATTTGTTTGTTTACTGAGAAACATTGTAATTTCTTGATTTGTCAAATATTTCTTCTAGAATACATATATATTTTTGTGTTGTTCACATTGCATGCTAACCCTAATAAAAATTGTAATGGAATTAATTTTTGGAATTTCAATCTGAGCTTACTATAATGGTAATTTTGTGCCGGGGTCTATTTTGATCCCAAGCATTCCACAACGTAACTTTTCAATGTGATGATGAGGGTTAACAGGTAGCTAGTTATAGTGAACATACCTAATTGTAGCTTCATATATATGGGGGTCGGTATAATGAACTACTGCCATTGATATAGGGTTAAAAATATCTTATGAGTTGTAAAGAAAGTCAATCAACCAAAGAACATGTTATATATTTTTAAAAAAATGAACATGCATTTACATATCAAATATTTTATATCAAGCATGAGGTAACATTATCTAAAGCAATGAGGGCTGAATCCTTTCAGAAGGCAGTTCTATTTCTCCTTTTCTAAATATTTCAATCAGTTTACTTTTAAGTGATAAATTAACTGTATAAACTCTTTTTATACTTTCTTACAGATTATAAAATCCTCTGTAATTAATGTCATACTTTCTTTACATTCATTATAGTCTTACTTAACACTGTATTTTAAAACCTGTTTACTTTGTTTTCTCTGCTTAAGACCTCATGAAATTACACACAGAATACTGCTATCACAGAAGTAACAATAACAAAATTATGATTCACCTCATTCAAGAGAAGATGGATGATGAACATCTTGCCTTCAAAGTTTATTCGCTGAATATCCTGCCTGAAAAAGTAATAAATAAATTATAATAAGACGTATGCATTATAAAACATGAGAGTTCATAATTACAAAACTATTAACATATAAACCAATTTACAAGTTTCTCATATACTCACACATAATAAAAGTTCGCATGAGTAACAGTAATTGAATATTGTGAATGAACTATTAGGAATTTCATTTTACTGGTTTATAAGGTGGAGGTAGTGTTAAAACAATGTTTTTACTGACTTGTAATGGTGGGATACTTCTAACAGATTTTTAATCTTGAATATTAGAAATCACTACATATAATTTTTGCTGTAAGACATATTAAAGCAAAAGCGACCCAGGAAGCCTATTTGGCTTAGCATTTGTAAAGACTTAAAACAAAAATTTCCTTGTTCCAACATATTTTGAACAAATAAAAAGGAAAACAAATCTGTCAAATAAATTGTTTATGTTATAACATCATATTATAGCAACAAGGTGCTAGATAAAAAACTAAGGAAACTGCAAAACTTTATATGTACATCTTGGAAAATTGAGAGGTCATTTGTATGATTTAAATCATAAAAGCTTTTTAAAAAGACCTGATGTATTAATCAGCAATGGTTAAATCATATTTGAGGAATTATAAATAAGGAAAAACTACTTTCATATATATTTCTTTATCAAAAACTTTACTTTCTTGCTTAGTTAAACAAAACATTTAATATAAAGTAGGACTTTATACAATTTACAAAAAGTGTGCATTGACAGCAGGTACTTGACAGCACCACAATTTACGTACGATGGTGAAGTGAAGCAGGTGAACCCACCAGTGTTCAGAGGGATAACTAGAGAGGATTACGATTGTTTTCTTAAATGTTTGAAGCAAGCTCAATAGATAGATTCAGGGAAAGGTGAAACAATGTGTGATTTTGCGTCTAGACAGTTCTATGCTCAATGTCTTAATGCAGTTAACGACAAGCAACTCAATGATTGGGACACAGTTGTGCATGAGTTTTAACACTCTTGAGGATCAGAAATCTCCATGAAGATTTGTCCACTTACGTGGATGATTTAAGAAACTTGCATAGGACGGAATTCCCTAGCATGTCTTCCATAAATTAGAATGAGGTATTCATTGAAAAGTTTGTTGAGAGTGTACTGAGTGAATCCCTGCAAAACTACGTAAGTCTGAGAGACATCTTGTCACTCTTAGCAGTTTCTGTAGTGATGCAGTATAAAGTGGTCATATTGAACTGTGTGCTGGAGCAGAAGAAGAAAACACAGAAGTGGTATCTGCAGCTGTAGATTGCTCCGAGACAGCATCCAGGCTCGGAAGAAACACTGATAACCAGCTCCTGCGCAACAAATGACACAAAGTGCCATGATGCAACCACCATACTTTTGCATAACGCAACAGGGCTATACTGCCAATGGTACCAAAAGTGCAAGGGAAGGAGCATCTGCTGTAATTGTGGCTTGTCGCTGTAATTGCAACAAGCTCGGTATAAAATAAACGAGTTCCTATACACATTTGCACATGTTAAGTATTTATAACTTTTAATGCAGCAAGTGTATCTTCACAAAATTTGGTAGACTTTTAGTAAACATTAAGTCTTTTGTACACAAAAAGTCAAATTTTTAATGAAGTACTTTTACTAAAGATTTGTTTGTGAATATAGAGTCTGTTTCTTTACTAGTCCAAGTGCAAAATTATTTTCATGTTATGATTAAAAAACTATTCTTCATTCACAAAATCTTAAGTATCATTTGTGTAATTTCTAAAACCTCCTAAATACATTTCAAACGTTTGTTTTCAGTAAAACTCTATATTTTATCTCTACCCTAACTCTGTATGGGGTCAGTCAATTTGACCAACTTCATAATCACCAAAAAAAATTAAATAAATCTAAATTACCATTTTTTTCTTTCTAGAATGACTTCAAATTGTACATTGAAACAACATTTGTTCATCCTAAGTAGCTTTAAACTCGTAACAGTATATATCTACTTATACTTAAATATTATTGTTTTATTGCTCTGTGATTGCCCTTTGAATAACTAACTATTACTATTCATGCCATTATAAGTTGTAAATCACCTGGGGAACATGGAGATCACATTACGCTATCGAATTACATTACCTAAGAGCTACTCCGAGTCTGAGCTACTCCCATGCCTTGTGAAACATTATCATTATTATTAATTTTACCTAATCTAACCTTAACTAAACTAATGAGATCCTTAATATTACATTTTAGTTACTTTTATAATAATAAATAAAGAATAAACATGAAAAACAAGAAATAATGTACTTACCCAGTTCTTCTTTTTTTTCTTCTGTCGATTATCAATGACACTTAACCCTACTATTTTTTATACTAATGGTAATAATGCACTAAATACTTTTTATTTAATTAAATAATGCACCAAAGAACATAGAATAATAATATGCAAAAAGCAGACAATGTCCCATAACTATAATAATTTTTTGGCTTTCTAACTATTTGACAAAAACCGTTGGAAATTCAACCAAGTTAGTCCTCATCTTTCCCGTGGGAACGAAACTTGTACTAACAGTGAAATTGACAATTCCTTGTTCAGATAACAACATTATATAATACGTCATTTGATAGATGAAAACCTTGGATTTCTACTGGTTACAGATAATATAAAATTAAATGCAAGAGAGAGAGCTACTAACAAATCCTGGAAGAGAAGATGTGACAGGTGGGTGTGGCAAGAAGGGTCTGATTTTCTATTTGATGGCTCTCTAACCAAACAAAATAGAAGGCTATAGAAATTATATTTTGTCTGAGAAATGATGATTTTATAGTGAGCAATTTACTTTAAAATTCATACTTATTGGAGGGGTGGTGATTAAAATAGAGAAGAGGATGATGCCTAGAGAAAATATCACATTTCTCACACTAGGGGAAATTCAGGATTTTTTAAAATATTGCCTTATAATATTAAGAAATTAAAATTTATATACTATTAAAATATGGATTATTAGTTAAGTATTTTATTGCTATATTAATTAGGCATAATATAAATACAAAAGTAAGAATTAAATAAAATTTTAGTAAATAACTTAGTCTA